GTGAGCAATGTGTAGCATTGCTACATGTTCTTGAAAGCGAGGAATTTAAAAACTCGGACACCGAATTGTCGGCACGTTTACGTGCGAGCCTCTATCGATATGCTATCGATCGTGGGTTGTTGTGCTATTGTACGGGTGTTGAGGATGTGCCTCGTATCGCATTTCCTCACGATAAGGACTTGAAGTATCGTATTCTTTTTGATGCGCATGAAACTGCTTTGAGCATTCATCTAGGTCGTGAGAAGACGTATAGCTTAATTAGCCCGATGTATTGGTGGCCCAAATTGAATAAATGGGTTAATACTTATGTGCGTACGTGTGAAACGTGTCAATGGGTCAAAACCCCATCAGATGCAGTTGCACCGCTTGCTAGTTTGCTTGTACCCACTGTGTGTTGGGATTCCATTTGTATGGACGTTTAGTTTGGCCTACCGAAAGATTCGGACGGCAATAATGGTGCTGTGGTCTTTGTTGACCGTTTAAGCAAGATGGCTCATTTAGCGGCTGTGCCTGATTTCATCAATGGTAAAGGCACCGCAAAGCTGGTTACAGACCGTGTGTTTCGTCAACACGATTTGCCTGCGGAAATTGTATTTGATTGTGATCCACGTTTCACTGGTAAGTTTTGGATGGACTTCCATCTTCAAGGTGCTGGGCACCCGGTTGGACATGTCCACAGCGGATCATCCGCAAACCGATGGTCAAACTGAGCGTGTCAACCGTGCCATTGGTAGAATTTTGCGCAGTATATTGTGCTGGTACGCCTAGGCGTTGAAGTTCTATGCTCTGTATGGCCAAGTTTGCTTTAAACAACGCTGTTCATGCCTCTTCTGGCTTTACCTAATTTTACGTGAATGGTCTCACTCACCCACGCGTTCCGTTAACGCTACCACTACGTGGGTCTGCGTGGTGAGGGAGGAAAAGTCGATCGGCTTGCTGATGTCAGCCCAACTACTGTTCAGAAACAGGTGGGCGAGTTTCTCGCTACGCGATTGAATGTCTTACGACATGTACGTGACACAATGACTGATAGCCAGGACAAACAAAAGGAACAAGCTGATGCCAAAGGCAGAAAGTGTATTGAGAGTTATGTAGTTGGGGACCTAGTCTTACTTAACGCTAAGAATTTACCTACCAAGGTAGTGTCAGCGGTCTATAGGACCAATTCGCGTCCTCGATTCATTGGGCCGTTCATGGTTGTAGCCAAGAAAGACCTAGCGCACACACTCGACCTCCCACGCAAGATGCGAACAAAAACAGAGTTTCACGTCGGCTTGCTTAAGCCTCACCTTGATCCGTCGCTGTGGATCACGATACGCCTGCACCGAAGGAATTGGCGATGCCACGAGGCGAGGAATCCTCAAGAAAAGATCCAGTTCTTCTTCAAGATGCGCCACGCTGTCGAGAAGACCATGCACCTCGTGCACTAACTCGTAGACGATGCGTCGAGATTCATCGAATACCGCCTGATCTCGTTGAGGAACAAGGGTATCAACAGTACCATGTGGAAAAAATCCTGCAGCGACGTCGTCGCGACGGTCAGTACCATTAATTCGTACAGTGGCGGGGGTGCCTTGAGTCGGAGAACTCAAAAGATAACGAAGTGCCACTGCGGCAGGATTTTACGTATGTCGTTGACGTCTCTGAAAGTCGTCTTCAGGGTCATTCGACCCATACCGCTTCCTACTAGTTGGTGCGTGACTGGAGGGGGCTTTAGATGAAGAAGGTGCACTGGTGTGCGGGTCCGAAACTACCGCAGCATACCGAGTGTGATTAAATGGTCGCAGTTGGCCTATGGATTTGTGCTTTGCGAAATTAAAGTGCAGCTTTTGTTCTGGCCGAACGTCAGCAAGTGAAGCGCTCTCTTGGACATTCCACAGGCTTGGTAGATGGCGATCTCTATGAGCCCAACTCGTGAAGAGGAAATCATTTTCCGCCTCCGTCTCACAAGGGAAGAGAATGACGGGTAGTGTCCGCATGGCGGACACTGACGCACCTCGTGCTTGCTGATTTAGCCTGTCAACGTATTTTTGAGAGGTCATACGCTCGACCACCAGGTATCTCACTTTGAGAGCCTCCCTCTCCGCTAGTGTTGTGGCTGTGGAAGCCTTAGGTCCTATGAACCATGTTGCGAGTGACTGCCCGGACTTTTGACGGATGCATTCATCCACACTCGGCTGTGTGAAGCGGTAACTACTGTGAGCATACGCTATGACTACACATTGTGCTTGACGTCCGCGGTCATCGACCAACTGAAAATATTGAGCCTACTATTTACAAAGAGTGTTGTGCAACACACCCAACGCAGGCTCGAAGACTGCACGCTGTGAAGGGGTGAAGGTACTTCCTCGCGTTCCACAAATGGATTAGGCGCGACGCGCGTGGTGTCACGCGCCGGTGGTGCAGCTGGATGCGGGTCATATACGCTCGACGTGACGGTGTCGCTCTCATAGTCTACCATACGCTCTTTGAGGAATTCCTAAAAGATTGGAAGATGGCTTTGTCTCAGTCATTTTAAGATGTGTTGTGAACACGATGATCATGAGCAGAGCTTTGATAGACCTCAAAGATCAGTAGAAGAATGGTCGACACAAGGTTGTCGACAGTCTGGAATGGGGAGGGTGTAACGTGGTTACACGGTGGTTATTGAAACCGGTTATGTTGTGTGTCCACACCAAGCAAAGATCGGTGGATCTGAGTGGCACAGTCTTGGCACCATGTACTTGCGGTAATACCGCACCTTATCCACTAAGGATAAGGGATGAGGCTTTTGTCATAGGATCGCAATGTAGAAGTCAGTCAGACAAGGTTTTAAGGATTTAATACCGTAGCTAAAAGAATAAATAAAGTTCAGTTCCCCTTTTGAATCGTTGGAAACTAGTGCCTAGTAAAGGCGTAGTGTTGTTAAGAGCGTTAGCCTTGTGCAGGCGCTTACTCTTGTTTGACTAGTGGTGACTGGTAAGTACTAAGTACTAAAAATAGTTATCCCTATAGAACCGGGATTGTTAAGCTTGGACACTTGGACGACTGTAAGTCGTTTATAGTTCGTTATAACTAAGAGACTCTTTGAGTCTACGACTTCTGTAACGGGGCACCCTGAAGCTTGTACTGGTGACAGTACAAGCTACTTATTCTGACGACAGAATAAGGCGGTGCCTCGGAACTTCACGTACACTCGTACGTGCAGAGGAAGACGGTAAGAAGAAGCGAGTACTTGGTTAAAGTAAAAAGTAGAACTGTATTTAGTATAGTTAATGTCTGCAATAAATCACTATTTATCTTCATCTAACTATGTCTAAATACAAATGTGTAAATCAAATATCTGCTCACCACTCATTGCGTGCGTCTGTCGTGGCGCGTCTTCGTTGGTTGATATAATGGCCTATATCAACCAATTAGGAACTACTTGTAAGTGCTACAGAATATTTGTCCTTATGACAATATTCTGAGAATAAAACTCTTATAGTTATATTCTATTAACAATTTCTTGAGAATTGTTATGTAACGATTCACCCCGTTACATCACCCCCCCCTTAACCATCAGTCACTTTAGTGACTGATTGACTAAATGGATACTCGTCCCAGATCATTTGGGACAGGGTTTGCACTTGTTGGTCCACGTCCACTTTCCAACATCTCATCGCATGGTTAACAAGCCCATGCGATGCGCGAGCAAGGCCGCCGAGAGCGCGTCCGCACGTCTCTGTGCGGACGCCGAAGCAGAAACTACAGCAACTGATGTCTCATCGGTTGCTGAAGCGACCCAGCCTGTGTCACTTGGTGATGCAGGCGCTGGTCATGAAGACACTCATGTCTTCACAGAGTACGAGCTCGGTGTCTCGTACTCTCCTGATACGGAAGACGGATCCGTATCAACGGCGATTGAATCTAAGCCGCCTGTCAAGCGTGGCATGGACGATGCTTTGCGTCGCAGCATCTTTGGTTCATCTGATGAATCAGATGAACCATCGCCGAAGCGTAGGCGCTCGAGGTCGCGAGACTCGGGCGCTAATAGTGGTGTCGGTTCTCCTATGGACACCACTTCGCAACAAAGTGCCAGTACTTCTGTCGGCACGTCGCAGGAAGAGCGGGACCGCAATGTGTTGCGTCTCGCTCCTGAAAAGAAGGCATGGGTGCCTCCAAAATCCGTCATGGATCACTTGTCGGCGACGACGAGTGATCGTTATCGAACACGATTGTTCGATTCGTCAAGGATCCATCACCTTGACCCCAGCGCGAAAAACTATCGCTCTGAAAACGAATTCTTCATCGATGCTTTCTTTAGACACCGATGGTACAGTGGGAATCACAAACGTGATGGTCCCTCACTACTTCAGGCGTGGAACGCCTACATCCATAACCTTGAGGATGTAGGTCGTGACGCTTGGAACGACAAACTTATCAAAGCTCGGGATAAGTTTGAAAAGCGAACCCCGACAGGTGCACGCTACAAGCTGCATCGTCTGTCAAGGGAGAATGGATTACCCTGCCTCTCATGGGGAGACTCGTGCCCGTGTTGTGTGAACAACTCTGCACGAGCACCTAAGGAGGCTTGCCTCCCTAATAGCCCGTGGTGGCGCGTACGTATCTCTATTGAGATGTACGAAGGGATTGACAACTCGAAATCCCTTTACGACCGTGCCGGGAGGACTTTCTCCGGCGGTCCTTCTGCGGCACAGGATGTGTCGCGTCGTACTGCTCAACCAGACCCAGTACGTCGATCATCAGTTGGGAGCGGGGCTCCCAAGAATCCCAGGACGGGGGATAGCCGCGCCACCGGACGAGATAACTCGTCCGACGTCCGTTCACGTCGCGGTGGTTCAACAGCTGCTCAACTAGATAGCGCTGGCCACCGCGAGAGTCCTCTAATGGAGGTGGAGGAGTAGGGAAAACGCTCTCCAAACTATCGTGGGGATCGGTGTGTTCCCGAGAGCTTCTTTGATCGCGTAACGCAAGGGTTACGCGACGATCTCGAACATGAGTGGAATAGGCGTCTCCAAATGGAGGACACTGCCTTGAATCATCGAGCTGAGTTTGCCTTTGCTCAGCTTGAGAACGAGAGATCTCTGACATCTCTTCGTGACGAGCTAAGGGTAGCTCGTGGGATTGCTGATCGGTCTCGGGATGAGATAGCTGCTCTTCAGACCCTTGTTGATGCCCACCATCGGGAGCACAAGGCTCTCTGCGAGATGCTTGAGCGCAAGGGCGTTCTTCATCGGAAGAAGCAGCGTACTGATGGTACGGCTTAAGCCGACCAACGTAAAACGTGGGATGCGTTCGCATCTTACGTGGCAACTCGATCGTGTATGCATTGCCTAGGCGGTGCAATACACGAAATGGGCCAATGTACTTGGGTAGTAGTTTACTGCTACCCAAGTTAGTCACTACATGCTTTGGTAGATTAACCGTAGACAGTAGGACTAAGTCACCTTTATTAAATAAAAGAGTGTTTGCCCTTCCATTCTTGTCAGCGTTTTGCTTTTGCTTATCCACCGCTTCGGCGATGGAGTCTTGCACAAAACGGACTACCGTTTCACGAGCCAGTATGAACTCATCTGATGACTCGTTAGCTTCAGTGTGCTGTGAGCGCACTGCAGCAACATCAACCTTTTCTTCAGTGAGGGCTTCCGCACTCTCACTGGGATCATCTTCTTCAGTGAGGGCTTCCGCACTCCCACTGGCATCATCTTCTTCGACATCGTTGTTATCGATATCGGCATCAAACGCAATGACTTCTTCGTCAGAGCGTGATGAGCGTGAACCAAATCGGTTTTTGCTCGCGCGATCCCTCCCCCCCTTAAAGCAGAGTTACACTCTAGTAAGGTGGGTACACGCGGATGGCGTAAGCCATTCACGTAAAACGGTGTATGTGTCGTGGACGCATGCACCGAGTTGTTAATGGCAAACTCTACCATTGGCAAAAACTCACTCCAACTCTTAAAGGAGTGTACGTATCCTCGAAGTATCTCTTCAAGGACACGATTGGCACGTTCCGTCTGACCATCTGACTCTGGATGATCAGATGTAGACATCTTCAAGCGCGTTCCGAGTGATTTGAACACGGAACGCCAGAAATCAGCAGTGAATCGTGGATCTCTGTCTGATACGAGTTCACGGGGCAACCCATGAAGTCGGAAGATGGTGTCAATAAAGACACAAGCACAGCCACTTGCCGTGATTGTCTCGGGTACAGCCACAAGGTGTATCATTTTGCTGAATCTGTCAACAAATACGAGAATACCCGTATTACCGCGTGCGTCTTTGGGTAACCCGAAGACAAAGTCCATTGAGATGGATTCCCAGCACTCAGCCGGAACCGGTAGAGGCTGTAAAGGTGCACGCAGTGAAGGACTTGACTTCACTCGTTGGCAGACTTCGCATGCGCGAACATACTTTCGCACAAACTGATACTGGCGGGGCCAGTAAATGTCTCGACTCACCGTGAGATACGTTTTCTCTCGGCCGCGATGTCCTCCTATAGGAGCATCGTGATACTCGAACATGATCCGCAAACGCAGATCAGTATCATCTGTAATGACAACACGTGGTGTGTCACCAGAAACGGCTGTATAATACAGTAAACCGTTACGAGTAGTGTATCGATCTGATGCAGATCGATACGCAGACGACAATCGTTTCAACGATTCTCGAGATGGTTGGGAGAGATGCGTCAACAACTTCACAAGCTCACCATCTTGTGCGTATGCCCGCCTCACATCATCATACAACGTTGTAGATGGGACTGAGGACGTCATAACCGCAACAGTGACTGTCTCACTGTTGGGTTTCGCGACTGTTTCAAAGTCGGGACGACGTGAGAGTGCATCAGCGACGACATTAAGTCGTCCTGGTTTGTATTCGACCGTAAAGTTGCATTCTGCAAAGAATGACAACCACCGCGCCATTCGTTGTGAAAGGTGCGGGCTGTTCACTGCCGTACGTAATGACGCATGGTCAGTGTAAACAATGAAGGGTCTATCTCCTAATAGATAGACTCTGAACTTCGCGAGTGCATACTTCATGGCAAGGAGTTCCTTGTCATGCACTGGATAGTTCCGCTCAGCTGGTTGCAGCCGACGCGACTGATAGCAGACGACGCGTTCAACGCCTTCTAGGTCGTACTGCATTAATGCACAGCCGATTGCGAAATCGCTGGCATCACAGACCACATGAAATGGCCTGGCCTGATCGGCTATTGCTAGGACTGGGGATTGTATCAAGCTCTGCTTGATACCATCAAAGGAGCGCTGACATTCAGCGTTCCATAACCACCTCTCGTTCATTTTCAACAAACGAGAGAGGTGCACAGTCATCTCGGCGTAATTGCGTGAATACTTATGCAAATACGCCGCTAGCCCAAGGAATTTTCGAAGACCTTTGACATCAACTGGCACAGGCCAGTCGGTGATCGCCTTAATCTTTTCGGGATCAGGACGTACACCGTTCTTACCAACGATGCACCCAAGAAGTGGTATTTCGCTTGCTGCAAATATACACTTCTTGAGGTTTGCATACAATTGATGCTTTCGCATGATTGTAAGAACCTGTCGGACGTGGTACCTGTGAACCTCAACGTCCGACTTTTCATCCACAGCTTGACTATGGATGAATACGTCATCGAAATAACTCGGCGCGAACTCTCGTACTGGTCTCAACAGATGTGATACACATCTGTTGAACGTGGCAGGGGCATTACTAAGCCCTTGTGGCATTACTAGCCATTCCCAGAGCATGCCGCTAGGCGTGCTAACTGCGGTAAAGGGTATATCCCGTTCTCGCATAAGGATTTAATAGAAGCCATCCATCAAATCCATGGACGAAAAGATGGTACTCTTTGACATACCATCAATGATTACGTCCTTCCTCGGTATCGGCGTCTGAGCCGGTACCGTTGCAAAATTCAACTTGTTGAATGCATGCACTATCCGCCACCCTCCTGTTGCTTTTCGCCCACAGAAGGTCGGAGAGCTATGTGGGGAAGTTGATTCCCTCACATGGCCCGCAGCTAAACGATCGGCGAAGAACTTGTCGATCGCAAGTACTTGTTCACGAGGCAGTGGCCACTGCTTAATGACACAGTACTTCGAGCCTGGTTTAAAGCTCGACCTCGTGTCGAATACCTATATCCTTCGCTGTTTCGCACGAAACGGTTTCAGGGAAGACATCCTTGAATTCAACCAAATCCTTATGGAGAGGATTTGTCTTAAGCGATTCCCACGATTGGGAGTCAAATCGCTCAACTCGTGTCTTTTCATCTAGGACACTCTCATCCATCGATGAACTACTGAGAAGTCTCTCGTTCTCAGTGAACACTGTTGCTGACCTTATGTCGGTTACACACTCGTCGTCAGCGACGAGTACGCAGATCAGCTTGACTTTGCCACTACGCAGATCACGCAAGAACCTTTTGTGTTCGAGCGTTGGCAACTGAGTGATCTCCGAAGTCAACTTCGGAGGCGCAATCCGATCAAGTGTATAAGCGCCTACACTTGATCCGTTATTGACTATGACATTCAATGTCTCTGTCATTTCCTGGGGACTTATTCCCTCAGGCTTCGAAGGACTTATTCCTTCGGCTTCCCGGGGACTTATTCCCGCGGGTTTCGAGGAATTTATTTCCGCCGTATTTGTAATCTTGGGACTTATTCCCTTTACTTCCTCTAGCTGGGGTTGCGCAACCACAGCGAGATCCTCTACGAAAGACTCTCCAGTCGATCTAGGATTATCGTTTCGCTTAACCTGAGCGATCGATTGTTTCTCTTCTAGATGTTCCCCGCTAGGGATACATCTTTGTCCCAGTCCACCCGACTTATTCGAGTGGTGGACCTTTCGGCGCAGCCTGTGATTCCTCACAGCCGCCGGAACTTTGCTCCGAAGTGTAACCGTTTGGTACACTAAGGTTTTGTGCAGTCGTACTAACGACCGTACCACAAGTGAGGCCATCGCACTCACTCGTAGTACATCCACACGCTTGTGGACGCTCCAAAGCGTTCATCAGATGGCCATCTGATGAACAAGCGGCAGGCATCGTTACTGTTTGATGTTGCCAGTTTACCCGTGGTTCGTACCTTCTGAGCCACGGTATTCCAAGGATGACATCAAATTTGTCATCCAAATCCAATACGATAAAGTCATCGTCATATTGGGTATCTTCTAGCGTATAGTGGATCTTCACTATACGCTTCATGACGGTTACGGATGCGCCTGTCGCAAGACGTACCGTCATCCTCGTAGGAGATGTGTCACATTCACTGAATTTAAAGTGACCATCTTCTAGCAATTGGCGTCGCACAAAATTGTTGGACGCCTCACAATCGACTAGAGCTTGAAGGGACAACTTATTCGTCACTTCGAGTTTCAAGGTAATTAGTAAGATCTCATTACCTAGAGCAGCAACGCACAACGTTTGTGTGTTGGGAGCAACCTTCATCAAGAGGCCTACAAATTCTCTTGACGTTGCTGGACCAGTAGGGTGCTCCGCACCTACTGATCCTGTCCGTGTTTTGACGGTCCATCCCGTTGTTGCGTCTTTGCACCAACAGCGGACCCGCGTCCCTGCCCCTTTCTCATGGGTTGACGGTCACTACGCCCAGTGTCGCGAGACACTGGACGAGGGGCACTACACTCGTAAGCGTAGTGTCCTGTCTTTTGACATCTGTTGCATCTCTGCAACTTCTTGTAGCCTGTAGAGCGAGCCTTCTCGCTCTCGACATAACAGAGTTCCATCGGCTCTGGACCTCCGCTGTCATATCGTCTCGGTTGACGATATGATGTCGAGCTGGCGCGAGCCTGTCTCAGACTGAAGTCTTCCTGCTCCGCAATGGATATGGCTTGTTCTAGTGAATCTAGTTCAAGTCGGAACAGGTGAGTTTTGACGGGACCATCCGCGAAACCCTGTGTAAACACCGAAACCAACGTGTGTTCATCCACCGGATTGGAACTTATACAACTCGTGAGATGTCGTATATGTTGAGCGTAAGCGTGTACATCACGCTTACCCTGCTTGAGCTTCAAGAGTTCGGTTCAAGCTCTGAACTCAGCTCTGGGCGGTTCAAACGTTTGTCTGAGCCGCGACTTGAAGACTTCCAACGACCCAAACGCATATGGGTCGTGCAACTTGAGCCCCAGTGCCCAAGTCTTGGCACGTCCTGCCAGATTTGACTGGGCAAATTGCAACTTGCATATCCCCGTCGTCGATGCGACGCGCCCTTATGGCGTCATCCAATTCGACGAACCATCTCAAGAGGGA